AGTGGGCAAGAGGCAGGCAGCCGCGTTCGGGAAGTTCTAGTCAATTTCACTGCCCCGGGCTAGATCCACAGCCGACAGGCTCTCGATCTACCTTTCCTCTCTACTGCCTGGAGGAGGGGGGGCAGAGGAAGGTAGAGGTCGGCGGGGGAGGGGGTGGCCGTGTGCCAAACCCTCCCTCCTGCTGCAGGGAGGCAAAGCCTGCAAGCGGCAGAACCAGAGAGGGAGGGAGAGGCAGGCAGCTGTTTCAAGAAGTTCTAATCAATTACACTGCCCCGGCAACAGGCTCGCAATCTACCTTTCCTCTCTACTGCCTAAGGGGGAGGGGGCGGTGGGAACGGGTAGATCCGTGGGTGACAGGCTGCTGCTGAAACTCACAAGGGAGGGGAGATGATCTCTTGTGAGTTTCAGCAGCAGCCTGTCGGCTGTGGATCCAGCTGGAGTAAGTGTAACTGACTAGAACTTCCTGAATGCAGCTGCCTGCCTCTCGCCGCCTCTCCCCTTCCTCTGCTCGCAGGCTTTGCCTCCCTGCAACAGGAGGGAGGGTTCAGTACCCCTGGGTCCCAAAGGTGCCGAATTATCAGAAGTCTACTGTACAACCAACCTGATAGCTTTCTGCAAAAGGGTAATAAGCCTTGTGGAGGGAGCCGGGACAGTAGACCTAGTATATCTTGACATTAGTAAAACTTGAAGCTGTCTTGCAAGACCTTCTCAGACTAAGGAATTCTAGCCTACATGGAGCTACTAGAAGATGGGCGCAAAACTGGTTAGAAAACTGTTCCAAGAGTAGTTATCAATTGTTTAGTCATGCTGGAAGGGCATAATGGCTGAGGTTCTGCAGGGATCAATTCTGCATCTGTTCAATACCTTAATCTACTTAGTCAGATAATGGCATAGAGAGTACATCATAAAGCAAACCCTCAGTCCACAAGCAAGTATTAAGAGGATAGGGTTATAATTTGAATGATGTTCAACAAGAACAAATGCAGTGTACTCGGGAAGAAGCAAGGAGTTTCATACAGTCACTTTCCATTTTATATCTAGGGAGGAGTACTGCAGAAAAGCATCTAGGGGTCCTGGTGGGCCACAAGCTAAATCATAGAATACTAGGACTGGAAGGGACCTTGAGAGGTCATTGAGTCCAGTCCCCTGCCCTCATGGCAGGACCCAGTACTTTCTAGACCATCCCTGATAGACATTTATCTAACATACTCTTAAATATCTCCAGAGATGGAGATTCCACAACCTCCCTAGGCAATTTATTCCAGTGTTTAACCACCCTGACAGTTAACTTTTTTCTGATGTCCATCCTAAATATCCCTTGCTGCACTTTAAGCCCATTGCTTCTTGTTCTATCCTCAGGCCAGGAAGAACAAGTTCTCTCCCCCCCTGAAAACCTCTATCATGTCCCCCCTCAATCTTCCTTTCCAAACTAAACCAGCCCAAATCTTTCAGCCTTCCTTCATGGGTCATGTTCTCTAGACCTTTAATCATTCTTCTTTGCTCTTCTCTGGACCACCTCCAATTTTTCTACATCTTTCTTGAAATGTGGTGCCCAGAACTGGACACAATACTCCAACTGAAGTCTAGAAGAATTATCATGCTCACAAAACACTTGTTAAAGCATCCTAGAATCATGTTTGCTTTTTTGCAACCGTGTCATACTGATTCATATTGAGCTTGTGGTCCACGATAACTCCCTAGATCCCTTTCTGCCATTCTCCTTCCTAGACAGTCGCTTCCCGTTCTGTGTGTGAAACTGATTGTTCCTTCCTAAGTGGAGCACTTTGCATTTGTCCTTATTAAACTTCATCCTGTTTACCTGAGACCATTTCTCCAATTAGTCCAGATCATTTTGAATTTGACCCTATCCTCCAAAACAGTTGCAACCCCTCCCAGCTTGGTATCATCTGCAAACTCTCTGTACCGATATCTAAATCGTTGAAGATATTGAACAGAACTGGTCGCTAAACAGACTCCTGAAGAACCCCACTTGTTATACCTTTCCAGCAGGATTGTGAATCGTTAACTACTTTCTGAACAGTTATGCACCCATCTTATAGTAGCCCCATCTAAGTTGTATTTGCTTACAGTCTCACAGGATATTCTTATCAATAAACTATCAAATGCCTTACTAAGGTCTAGGTATGCCACATCCAATGCTTCTCCCTTATCCACAAGATAATCCTATCAAAGAAAGCTATCAGATTGGTTTGACATAATTTGCTCTTTACAAATCCATGCTGGCTGTTCCCTATCACTTTTATTATCTTCCAAGTGCTTGTGGATGATTTCCTTAATTACTTGCTCCATTATCTTTCCTGGCACAGAAGTTAAACTGACTGGTCTGTAGTTTCCTGGGTGGTTTTTATTTCCCTTTTTAGAGATGGGCACTGTATTTGCCCTTTTCCAGTCTTCTGGAATATCTCCTGTCTTCCATGATTTTCCAAAGATGATAGAGGAGGTATCTGAGCCTTTAGCTATCAACTCCTTGCATATTCTAGGATGCATTTCATCAGGCCCTGGTGACTTGCAGACCTCTAACTTTTTTCTAAGTGATTTTTAACTTGCTCTTATCTTCTAAACCTACCCCCCTTCCCACTAGCATTCACTAGGTTAGGCATTCCTTCATCAGACTTCTCCGTGAAGACCAAAACAAAAGTCATTAAGTATCTCTGCAACTTCCAAATTTACTGTTACTGCTTCTCCCTCCTCACTGAGCAGTGGGCCTACCCTATACTTGGTCTTCCTCTTGCTTCTAATGCATTGATAGAATGTCCTCTTGTTTCCCTTTATGCCTGTAGCTAGTTTGAGCTTGTTTTGTGCCTTTGCCTTTCTAATCTTGCCCTGGCATTCCTGTATTGTT